GCGCAGGGGTTTGGGCGGGGGCGAGGCTTGGGGGCGTAGGCGCGGCGCGGGGGTGGGGCTAGGCCCGAAGGAGTTACTTAGGGCGGTCTCAGAGACATCGACTTCGCTGCGAGTATCACAAATCCAGCGTGTGTATGGCAACTTAGATTTCGAGGCCAGAAGGAAATCCTCGGTGTGTTAGGAGAAACGTGGTTGATCGTATATAGTACGGAAGACACTAGGTTTTGTTATTTTTTGTTGCGTAAATAAATTAAAATTCGTTTAATGATACGGTATCAGTTAAATTTTCAACAACACTTCTAGAATAAATGTTAATATTGCAAAATTTTATTTTTTCTAACCTTGTTTTACACTTTTAATTTTGAATATTACTAATATTTCACCCTGCATTAATATTTCTTTGCCAATGAAAATTATCTTTCATTATCAGATCTTCAGATCATTTCATTGACACAAAGGAAATAGTTGAAGACAGTAGAAAATAGTACGTTTGTGGCACGTATTTCATTATGGTCAATGTTGGTCAATGTAAGTACTACGAGCTTCGTTGGTGGAGCTAAACCTTAGTTCCATTCGTTTATTCGGACACGGGTGATAAAAATTAAGACAAACGACAACAAAACCTCAATCGAGATGGCTCAGACTTCACGTGGTTGGCTTCGTAAATATATTTTCCGAAAAGCACGAATTGATGGTCAGAAGGTTCTTTAACTGTACTCTCCCAATAATGTCCAGGACGTCACTGAAAAAGAAAAGTAAAAATTGCAACATATTTTGAAATATACCCGGTCCTGTCCATTGCCTACCTCGCACTCTGCTCAGACATCTGGCAAAGCTCACAGTGTTCACTGCATATAAAAACACAGTTTACACCTTGATCTGAGAGTTCGCTTTTTGCATGTTTTGCATTGTATTATATAATAATTATGCTTGGGATAAAACATTATAGAACCAACTTATTCTGTGGATAAATAAAACTAAAAACTAATAACTACCAAAATATATTCCGAGATCAACACTGATTTAAATATCGAATTAAGGAGAAAACGTTTACATCAAATATGTAGTAGTTGTTTCACATTTATATTTGGCCAAATGCACGCCTCGTCAGGCGAAGACGAGAGGCGGGTGGGGCTAGCTGTGGGTCGCTCTTCGCTCGGGGCGCTTGTGAACTTCGCGCCTGCCGAGTGGGCGCGGGGGCGTTGCAGACGGGGTGCGCCGGGATCGAGAACGGCGCCGGGGGCTCGGCCTGCGAGCTAAACTTAGCGCCGAGGCTGACGGACGCGGCGGGAGGCGGTTCACGAGCGAATGACGGCAGGTGCAAAACGGCGGAAAATAAAGACTCCGAAGGCCTCCCCGCCCGCCGCAGATGGAGAAACTTACCTGCCAACCCCCACCCTCACCCCCGCGTGTGCGCCTAACTCGGTTTTAGGCTTGGAGGCTTGACATGCAATGACCGCCCACGCGAAACGTTACATTTATCTGCGGTAAAGAACCACGAGAACGTTGGGAAACCAGTAGGTTAGCAATTTAAATCCCTTTCATCATAAAATTAACTATTTTGAAGAATAATAAATCGGGAGAGATGGTTTTGGGTATTAGATGATGTCATTATAGTTCCTATGTTCGAGTCCCGAAGGGGGCGGAATTTCAGACACTAGCTTCTCAGCTAGGTCGAATTCAGTCGCTGTCTGGAGGAGAATTCTTGCGGTCGGCTGCTCTGATCGGTAGTTTTCCGTGGTTTCTTCCACCAATGCAAGGCGAATGCCGGAGTAGTCCCCTAACAAATGCACAACGGGTTCGTAGCCTTCCGCGGCCGGAGTCAATGTATTCTTGGCTATCCGAGATGCGCTGCGTCTCGGTCAATTGTACTGACGTTTCGGCCAAGAATGCAAATGCACAACGGACCGCGCGCGATCTTTCCTACTTCTTCCTTGTCGTACCCTCACCGATTACACACTAACCGGGCTTGGGTGGTGTCCCGCTGGTGGGAGATGCCCGTTGGGGAAAACCCCGCTAGTCGACTGTAGGTCTCACCACACAGCGGGGCTTGACCACCCGAGCAAAACATGCACTACACTCACGGGGCTAATGACCCTAATAGTTGACGTGTCCAGAATCACGAATAATCAATCAATCGATGACCAATAATTATATATATTAGAGATGTGGAGCATAGAAAGATACCTTGAAGGTGAAGCTTACCTTTCGAAGAGAAGAGGGCCCTTCCCCTACTTCTGCACCTGGCGTGATTTCCCAGGCACTCCATGCTCACTGCTTCGCGAATGGTGCTCATTTGCGAGGGCATTCAATCTCCAGGGCTCATCTCCTTTATCGCGCTGATTTGGATGGGGGCGGCGGCATTGACTGTGGAGGAAGTAAAGCTGTCAATAAAATGGATGATGCGTGCGACATGGAGTGTTTTTTCTGTGTGGTCGCCAAAAATTTTTAATTGCAAATTCGATGGATGTAGTTACATTTGCCACCTGTGCAATAGTTCAAGAGTTCAACGAAAATGGTGTAGTATTCCCTCTAATTAAGAACCTGCGTAATTAGGTTCATTAAGTATTAAACATCCCTATAATCAAGTTTATAAAGAATTAGTGAATTTTGAGATCCTTCCAAGGATTAGGTGATGCATTGCAGTCGTCTTATATCGTTCTTTATGGTAGAAATTATAGAAACAGTTTGAGGTCACATTTCTTTGATAAGAGTAAAGAAATTACTGAAATTAATTTGCCTAATGTGCTTTATTATTCCCTAATTATATATTTAATCCTTACAGAAACATTTGATGGGATGGTTGTTTCTCTAATAGACACTTTCCGAAAATAACATGTAATCAGACTGGAATTCTTTTAAATTTTCATTTCAATATTTAGAAGCACGTGTAATTAGGAAGTACAATATATTGGAGTAGTTATAAGAATGAAGTTAATAATAATGTGAGCGCCATATAAAGAGAAGATATTTGAAGGACTCAATCAAAGAAACATTTGTCATATTACACTGTACTTATTTATCTTTATTGCACTGATTTGTATTACGAATGGTACTTTAAGAAGATATGAACCATATTGATGAGGAAGTCATATCCTTAACAACCATCAACGATTCACAAATAGTCAATGAAAATACATTATATGAGGTTCAATAAAGATATTATTGGTAGGGTTTTGTTGTTTTTGTGATTTTCTCCATCCACAGCTATTTATCTTTTGTTCTTATATATCTCATTATGGAAAATATGTACTGTCGATGGATAGATAAAATTAAGAACTATAATTCGAACAAGACACTCCCAGATACGCTCATTTGAAATTGATCTAATAATGTATTTGTGAAATATGATTAGAAATGATACTTGCAAACTAATTCAACAAAATCATGAAATTGGCTCCGAGTCAAATGCAATGTTGCCTAGATTATCTCTTTTGTAATAATGTCAGTGATATTCTTCGCGAATAAATGGGATATCATTTTCATTTCTAGAGTTGCTGGAAACCAAAGCGAGTGCCCTGTATATTTACTCAAGGCTCATACGTCTCTTGTAACTAATCCATTCACGTCCATATCATGTCATATCACATTCATATACATTTTATATTTTTGTAGTGAAACATCTATTATAGTGAAATATATGAGTTAAAACAATGTAGGCTTTCACGGCTGGATAAATTATTAATAATACCTTCTGGGATGGATAGTCGTTGCCTACTGTGCATTATGCGCCCAACGGTTTCATCTACGACTGCATTGATATTCTTAAACAGCACCTTTTAATTAAAAAAGAAGTAGGAATAAATGAACACTCGGAATGGTTCCCGTCGGATAAAGCCTAAACCGTTCCTACATCAACAGCCAACACCACCGCCGGCCGACAATCAGCAGTGCCTCTGCGCCGTCAACAAAGAAAAAGGTTTACCAGTCACCAGGTAGCTGTCTGAAAGGACACGGTGTGTACCAGAATCCACTGAAGATGTCAGTTGTTTAAAAATTAAATTACACGTTTTCAAACTCATGTGTAGGGTACTCCAACAATTATTACATCTTAGCATGTCGGGTCAACGTTCTTATTCACCATTGCCTCCGGACTCCGCCCGTAGAACGTAACTTCATGCATTTTCAGGACCTGGGTAGCCGAGGATGTTAAATCGCATGATGGGGATCTCCCTGCTCCATGCGTCACCTTCCAACGCTTTCCTCCACTTCCGAGGCTTGGGGCTTGCGCCTCAGTGCGCGTAGGGTTTTGGGTCCCGCGAGGTTTGGTGTAGGAAATGGATTTTGCGGATTGTGGCATGGCGGGCATTCTTGCAAACCAACCCATCCACCCATCACCTTTCTTTGAGGGGCTCCTCCTGGTGGTATTTTAATGTTAAAAAATTTTAGTATTTCTTTCCAATTCGTAATAAAAATAAATTTTAATCCTATAACAGTGGCCCAACACGCTCCAGCTAGAACGTTACATGAAGAATAATCGATTACAATGCTTTTTAAAATGTTTGTTTCATTACTCAGGTAGGTTTATTTTTAAGGTATTAATTAATATATTGTCAATCTGATTGTGACATTCAAACTAGCGACCTTTCAGCGAAATGCTCAAAAGACAGTAGTTAACAGCGTAGGTTCGTAGGAAAATTGAATGCATTAAAAACTCATATTTTTCTTGAATTATTCCAGAATATCATTGATGGAACCATCTAAGATTTAAGAGAATTGATCGTCTAACGGTTCAAATGTGTCTTATGGCTGATGGCAAAGTTATCTCTGAGTACCGGAGTTCGTGCCGTTGTGTTGGTTGAAACACTTTTGCATGTTTATGCAATAATGTAATACAATAAGCAATTGTAAATAATGCGAGAAAGCATGTGCCGTTGTAGATCCACTTTTTTGTTTTTTATAATTGAGTGTCTCGATTTTGGAATTTTTTATTTTTGTGCCACCCAGCGTAATTAATTAATTATACATAATTAAGTGGGCGTGGCGTGTGTCGGCAGATCGTGCGCGAGCCCAACACGGACTACCTGGGCAAGTGGCTGCAGGCGCGGCAGCGCGCGCGGGAGCTGCAGCAGCGAGAGCGGGCGGCGAATCGGCGCGCGGCGGTGGAGGCGGACTCGCACCTGCGCTTCGAGCACTCGGCCGAGCACCGTCTGCACGCGGCCCGCGCGCGCGCCCACGTGGCGCTCGCCCTGCGCGCCGCCGACGCGGACCTCGAGCGGCGACGATTCAGGTACGGCACGGGCAACGCGGACATTGAGCGGCGACGATTCAGGTACGGCCCTGCCGACGCGGACCTCGAGCGGCGACGATTCAGGTACGGCCCACCAACAGCGCTCCCCTCCCAGGTCTCTCCTAACTGCCCTCGTGGAGCTCGCCCTGCGCGGATGCAGAGTTCGAGCGACGACGATTCAGGTACGGCCTTCCATGGTTTCTCACAACAGCCCACGTGGCGCTCGCCATGCGCGCTGCCGGCGCGGACCTCGAGCGGTGACGATTCAGGTACGGCCCACATCAGCGCCCCCCTCCCAGGTCTCTCCCAACAGCCCTCGTGGCGCTTGGCCTACGCACCGCCGACCCAGATCTCGAGTGGAGGCGATTCAGGTAGCGGCCCAGCTAGATCTCTACTTTCGTCAGTGCAATGCCTTGTTAGGGGCGGTGCAACTCCTACATATCGACTTCCGGGATTTCCTCATCGAGATATCTCCCAGCAGCGTGGTATAGCCCCAACCGGGACGAGCTCAAATCTTTTGCGTTGAACATTTAAATGTGTGTGTGTGTGTGTGTGTGTGTGTAAGAGAGGAGAACAAGACAAGGAAGAAGAAAAGTTCATGCGAGTTTCCTTTCTCATTCGTTAGGATACTTCTCCGGCATTCGCCTAGTATTGATCAGAGAAAAAATGGAAAACTACCAGTCCGAGTAGTGGAGGCTCTAACTATTCGCCTTAAGAAGCGGCTGAATTTGATCGAGCTATGATGTTATTCACCAAAATACGCCACCAGACTTGGGACTCGAAACTACGGTTTTACGGCCAGAGTCACATCAGAGGCAGTGACAATGATGTATCTTAGCCAATCTGATCAGTACACGCCCTTTCTCATTTGCGGTAATAGTTCAGCAGCAACATAGTTACTGCAGTGTTTACATTATGTCTGGAATGTCACAGACTTGAGTTGGAGGCCCGTCGGTGGCGGGTTCTCGCCATTAGTTACATAGCTCGGTCGAATTCAGCGTGGCATGACACGTCCCGCGCGAGATTTTTCCTTCATCACATTAGTCTCCTCTACTCTTGCACCCCTGCTAGACTTGCTAATTAGAACCTCGCAGCTCATTAGAACCAGCGACCTGGATAGGAGAGTTATCTTCAGGGGGAAACCTGCAACGTGACGTGTACCTAAGCGGTCGGTCTGACGTCACAGCAGGAGAAGAACTTCCCTTCCGAGATACATCATGCGCAGTAGTTACGGGACCAATGATAGAAGTAGTTGAGCTCGGAATCAATAAATAATAATAACAATCATACTTGTGTATACAGATGCCTGCTGTTTCAGAGAGTACGAATGTAATAAAATTCAATACAATTTCAGCTCCTTCCTCCTGATTGGTTTTCAATTAATAACACGGGAGTCATTTCCCTTCACTGGGAAATCCCATAACGTTTTTTAGTATGAAGTCAATTTCGAAAGGTCAGCTATATATCGTCGTTATTAACCGAAGTCACTGAAAGTCAAAAACCGTGGTTTGAGATAACAAGTTGAAGTTAGTTCTGTTATAAGCAATGTTTTCTGCTTGGCAGGAGATCAAGCCGGCTCTTTTACTAACACTTTCATATCTGATATTGCTTTTAAGATTCGGCAAAAAATTAGTCAACGATGAAATTGTGTATTTTCACTTAAAATTACGCGAAAGGTACTCAAATATTTGAAAAATTCTACATGACATTATTTTAAAATCGATCGCTAAGGAACAGATTTCTTTAAAGGAAAAATCCAGATCTTTAATATTTTAGTTGTAGGAAGAAAAAAATTGAGAACTTTTGCAAAGCGTTTGTAATCAACGAACCTGATATATGCACCACTCTCTTAAATGATCTTCGCACTCTCTAACCACAAGATTTAAATAAAAACTCGTAGCCATTTAAACATTTTGTAAATGTTTCAAGGGCTTCATGTATAGTACCCCTCAAAATTAAAATATTGATTTCAAATTAACGTGGCAATGACATCGGCCAGCTTGATGAGGAATATTAATTTTGGAGAAAATAGGCTGAACGGTTTAGCCACTAGCGTTGTTTACAGATGGACGAAAAAACTGACCGATAGACGTTTTGCTGCCTTTCGATTTTTAGGAACGAATGACATGGATTCTAACCACACCACGTAAAATATGATATTTTTCTAAATTTAGCGATGGAATTTATCCCCTTTATGTTTATCATGGATCTGTAATAAGAGTGTTTTTGCAGAAAATTCCGTTTTTTTCTCTCGCAGCATCACATAACTTTTTGTCTGCTCCGCAGCGATAAAGTAAAAAGAGAGGAGAGAGAGTGTGTGAGATCGCTCCGTGCGCAGGCTGCGCGAGCTGCTGCGCTGCGAGGACGCGGCGCTGACGGCGGAGATGGTGGCGCGCGCGCAGCAGGCGCCTGCGGAGCGACTGCAGCGCGCGCGCGCCCAGGAGGAGCAGCTCAAGGCGCAGCGCGACGCCGCGCAGCAGGAGCGCGTCGAGGAGCTGCGCCTCCTGCAGTACAGGTACAGGCTCTTCCCTCCTCTTCATCTAAAGAGCGACAACTCAAGATTAAGCACGACGCCGGGCGTCTGGAGCGCTTGGAGGTGCTGTGCGTCCTTCAGTGCAGGTGCAGGCTCTCCCCTCTCTCTCTCTCCATCCCTCCCTCCCCCCCTCTCTCTCTCCATCCCTCCCTCCCCCTCTCTCTCTCCATCCCTCCCTCTCTCTCTCTTCCCTCCTCTTCCTCCCAAAAGCAGCTACTCAAGGTGCAGCCCGACGCCTCGAAGCAGGAGCGCGTTAAACAGCTGCGCCTCCAGTAGTACAGGTACAGGCTCTCCCCCCTCTCTCTCTCTGCCCTCCTCTTCATCTAAAGAGCGATAACTCAAGATTAAGCACGACGCTGAGCGTCTGGAGCGCTTGGAGTTGCTGTGCGTCCTTCAGTGCAGGTACAGGCTCTCTTCTCTCTCTCTCTCTCTCTCTCTCTCTCTCTCTCTCTCTCTCTCTCTCTCTCTTTTCCTCCTCTTTCTGCCAAGAGTAGCAACTCAATGCGCAGCGCAACGCCGAGCGGCTGGTGCGCGTTTAGGCGGTGTGCCTCCTGCAGTACAGGTACAGGCTCTCCTCTCTCCTCTCTCTCTCTCCTCTCTCTCTCTCTCTCTCTCTCTCTCTCTCTTTCTCTCTCTCTCTCTTCCCACCTCTTCATCCAAAGATCTACAACTCTAGGAGCAGTGCGACGCCATGCAGCTGGAGCACTACGTAATTGCTGTGCCTTCTGCAATACAGGTAGAGGATCTTTTTTCTCTCTTTACTCCTCTTCTTCTAAAGAGCAGCAACTCAAGGTTTAGCACGACGCCGAGCAGCAGGAGCGAGTCGAGGAGCTGCTCCGCTTGCAAGACAGGTACAGGCTCTCTTTTCTCTCTCTTCTCTTTCTTTCCTCCTCTTCTTCTCAGAGCAACAACTCAAGACGCAGTATGAAACGAAAATGGAGCGCATCGAGGTGCTGTGCCTCTTGCAGTGCACGTACAAGCTCTCTTTTCTTTCTCTTCTGTCCCTTTCCTCCTCTTCTTCCCAGAGCAGTAACTCAAGGTTCAATACGACGCCGAGTAGCGGGAGCGGGTCGAGGAGCCGCACCTCCTGCAGTACAGGTACAGGCTCTCTCTCTCTCTCCCTTCTCTTTATGTTTGGCGCGAGCAGGGGCGTCACCTTATATAACATTTGTTCGATAGCGGATGTCGAGCACAGTGTTGTATCGTGGCCTGCCGTGTTAAATCCGCTTTTTTTCGCGTCCCGAAAATTCTGCCAAGCACTTCTATTTATTTTATATTTGGAAGCCACATAACGTATATTTGCTGAATTTGCATGAGTACCGTCGCATGAGTTTGACATTTGTAGACTGTTAGAGAGGCAGTTAGACATCTCTTCTTTCTTTTGATGTATTTCCCTTTTAACCCTTTACTTTATATTTATACTAAATAAGATCCTTTTTTATGTACCCCTCCTTTTAATTTACTCAAGTGTTCGCTATTTCAGTTCCTTGTTCATCATGAAAAATGTTAAGAAATTATGGAACCTATAAAAAGCGTAGCTCAAAGGAAAAGTAACTACTATCCAGCATGTTATTATATTCTTTCTTTAGGTTTATAATATCTCGTATTACTTCAAAATGCGTCAGTACATACTTTAAAGTTAACAAACATTAACTAAGTACCTGTAATTTTACATACGCATGTTAAAATGATGTCGGTATATTTTAATGTTATGTTAATATCGAGACTTTTTCATGTTCCACTGTTTTTTTCTTGAAATATTGTTTTCAACATTTTATTCGCTTTATAATTTAGGCATATTTTATCCAGGTTACCCATGCATCAGTTTCAGAGCAGCCTATTTCAAAAATGAAATCTAATCTGAGTAAAAAATAAGAAAACAAAGAGATATCATAATCGTAACCCTGACTACATTTTGTTTGGAAGTCAAATTTGGATGCTGAAACATCACGTCTTCTCCATCCCAATCCATCAAAATCAGGCGTTTACACTACTGTAATGCAGAAAGTAACTGGTTTGTCTAACCCCCATTGTATTCATTCAAACGACTCAGAGTTGATCCTACCCTTGAACTATGATATTTGTGTCGCACCCAATCGTCGTAGCAAAAGTGGAACGATGTGATCCGGTAGCCAATATCCCGAAGCCATTTTTATTCTGTGGAAATTGTACTGACGGAAACGTCACGGCCACCCACAAGGCCAGCCCTCATTTGCCTCTGCAATTTGTTCTTAATCACCCGTCACTCCACTCGCATGCCGCAGCGCGCCAGCCCGATAGCTCAGCTGCATGGCGGGGGAGGAGGTGATGGGCGAAGGAGGGGCGGGGCGGTTCCAGGGTACGGAGGCCAGGGCTTGGCGGGGACAAGAGCGGGAGGCGGGGACGTGGGCGGGGTCATGGCAGGGCCGTGGGAGGCAACGTGGACGCGGGCGGAGAAGAAACGTGGCCGGGGCGTGGGAAGAAACGTGAGTGGGGGCGTGGGTGG